GCCCTATGTTACCTGATATGGGCTCGGGTTACTCGGGGATTCCAGAGCACCTTCGGTGGCCCGGCTGCGTGCGTGCCTTATCTTTGAGACTTCCTGTCGCCAGTCTGACTTATTAATTTATATGTGCGCGTAGTTATTTATGCCTTATAATATTATAATTTAATAAAAAAATGGTTAATATGATATATGTGTGGTTCTTAAGGTTATAATATACGCCTAATTTAGTATTATATGAATAGTGTAATAGAAAGTTATAATGTTAATTAGTTATGATTTTTATAAAGACAATATGCATGTGTTATAATAAAAGAGATATTTGTTATTAATGTTTAAATGTGGTTATTAAGAATTATTATAAGAAATGCATATTGTTAACAGTGGGTTTTAGAGTGTAGAGATTTATAATATTGTTAACTGGAAAATTAGGATTTCTTATTACAGGGATCCTTATTATTACTGTTGTTAAATTAATGTTTCTCGGCAAGGCTGAGTTCTACCATAGGGCTCTCTACTTACGTATGTCGGTAAGGTAGATCCCTTGGGTAGGTTTCGTTATTATTGGCGTCGGTAATTAATTAACAATTGTTATAAACGGTTCTTATGTATAAATTACCGACTTTTAGACCTTATAGAAGCTTATGGTAATAGAAGATTCGATGAACAATTAATTTTTATTATTAGTGATGAGTTCAAGCCGTTGTACTGTACGAACGAATTTAAAAGAGTGCAATATTTAAGAGGAGCTTGAACGTGGACAGAAGGCTTAAATTAAATTAAATAAAGTATTTAAACGTGACCAAGGCAAAAATGGTGGATTTCCAAGCTAAATAGAGTATTTAAACGACCCCTGAACTTAAATAAATGAGGTTTATTAAATATTAAGTAAGAATTACCAAATTTTGAGAATGTACTGTCAGAAGGATTCTCTGTTTGTGGGCAAGAATTAATTGTTTTCGTTTGGCATTATTTCCTTTTGTAATTAATATTCTGAGGTTTTGACATTTGCTTATGTTTCACTAAAATGTTCTCTATGTACGTAGGTGTTAAAAATATTTTAAATTGACTTTTCTTAATTTTCACGGAAGGTACGCATTACTGGCGTCCCAATAGTCCCTGCGTATGAATTTTAGAATTTTCTGAAGTCCATTGGTAAGTAACATTGTTGGTTTCTTATTAATTGTTAATGTTTTTCAAAATGTTAGTATGGTCGTTAAATAGAGGTCTTTTAATGCTATTGTTAGCAATTAAGATTTTTCTTCTAGGCCTTATAGTTACTGAGAAAAACATGCCTTTTCCTGATTGGTCGAGACATTCAAATAGCCGTAACTTCTAAACTATCAATTTTACAGAAATTTTATTAGGACATAATTTGTAATACTTTGAAGGAGCCTTAAATCGCACCGCGCGATTTTCTAAAATTATTATTATTTTAAAAGATATGAACTTTTATCGATAAATTTTAATAGTAACAATTACTTTTTATGGTTGAATCTACCTATATGTCTCGCTGGCCTTTTAATGTAGAGGCGAAAAAATGATATGGTGGAGAGAACGTCGCAGGACGTTACACCTCCCCCCCTTTTAAGAGCAAACTTCCGAAACTTTTGTTAGGAATTTGATCGTGAACGACTACCTGGTTTAGGCGTTCGTTGAGTTCTCTGTAGGCGATGGATGTGTGCGGTCCCTCTTCGATGAGGTGATGTGGAGGTGCGGCTGGTCTAGGTGTTGACCTTGGAAGTGGTTGTGGCTGTTGCTCGACTGGGGTGGGTTGTTGAAGTGGTGTGTTAGTTGAAGAATCGACTGTTGCTTTGTTGGCACGTCTAGGTGGCCGATGAGCCAGGTGCAGCAGGAGGTGAGTCAAGGAGCTCCATAAGGCTCCTAAAAGGTGAAGGCTGCATCCGTACGCCGTATGAAGGGCGTATCCATGGAGGGCAGTATCGATGAGTAATTTTATTATGCGGATGATGATGAAGATGCCAAATACTCCTGCGGTTGCAGAGCAAAAAGCGACGAATCCTTCCCAGATTTTTGAGGCAGTACTTTCAGCAATTTTGTTAAGATCTTCCTCGTTCAGTAGATTATACAACGAGGCGGATCCGTCCCCTGTAGTGTGACCGGTAATTCCTCTAGCGACAGAATTCAAGAGGGCAGGCTTTTCGGCGGGGAACATGATGTGGTCCCTCAGCTTGTCGATGTCCTGTTGCGAGTAAATACCGCTTACTGCTAGAGGTCCTGGTGTTAAATATTTCCAAGATATAGTAGTGGTAGGCTGCAGGCGTTGTGGTGGAGAAAGACGTTCGTGAGGTTCGGGTGTAAACTGTACCCAAGTGTCCTCTAGACGGTATAAGGTTGGTAGTTGATAACTACATTCTCTTAATGTGCCATATTTAGTGAGCACATGAGATTTTGGTGTGAGGAACATTGATGAGTTCCTAACAGTGACTGGAAGTTCGGCGTAGCAGTCTTTAGTTCTCCTGATCTTTACTTCGACTGGGATGCACTGGATGACATGAATTGCTTCGCCTGCTGTAACGGCCATGTATCCTGGACCTTTCATTAACCGATAGGCGAACTCGTCGGGTAGAAGAGTTGCCAGAGACAGTGTATTTTTAAGAACTTCCTGCTCTAGGTCACACCTCTGCTTCATGACGTTGTAATAAAGGCTGATGATTTGGCTACGCACGTGTTTCTCTACGTATACAAATTTGGAATTGACGTACGAGAAGATGTCCAGATTATCCACAGGGACGCTTCCTCGTGGCTTGACAGTATCTCCTTTAGTAGTTTCTACGATAAAAAGCTTGGGATGCTCGGTCTGTAGGATTGTATATCCGCAGAGTTGTCGAGCCTTAGTGGTAGTTAGTGCGAACGTGATGTCCTGTGTGGTGAGAGAATAAACGGTGGAGGGATTGACAATCGGGATGTCGCCCCTTTGATCGATAGAGTCCTCCTGAATTTTTATAGCTTGTCCCTCGTATAGGATGTCGTACTGATGAAAATCGCAGCTGGATGTAGGCATTGGCTGCCAGTACGTGTAGCCATGTTCTGAGTCGACGCAGTGTCCGTCGCTCAGGGTGCAAATGGTTCCTGACTTAAGATGAATTTTCCCCGTGTTGATATGAACTGGTACATAAGAGGATCGTAGAGATATGGTAGCGACTCCCTGGACAACGACGTCGGTCCATGAGCCATAAGGATCGGAGTAGGGGATGCCCTTGCAGTGGCCATCGACTCCTATTTCTCCTGCCAGGGTGATGCTGTAGCTCTCCGTAGAGTTCGGTTTGAGTCCGGAGATGACGTTGTTGTTTCCTAGGACGGCGACTCCGTCCTTCTGCATATGGTTGCACCGATCACTAGTCACATATTGTAAGTATTCACCGTGCCCGTTGTGCACCACGGATATATGAGAGTGCATACCGCAATGATAGATCGTACGCTTGATCTCGATTTTACATTGTTTAACTTCGGCATAATTATATTCAGACAGCTGTAATAGCTGTATATGAACGTTTGTATTGTTTGTAGTTTTTACTTGTATGTCGCACGCTCCAGCCTCTAGCAGGGAGACTGTTGTTATATTCAAAGATTGTCCTCCGCAATCGAATCCGATCAAAGCATGCGATGTAGTTACAAATACGAATAAAAGTAGTAGTAGCATAGTCTGTAAAGCAAAAGATAAAATATGTATTTCGCAGGGGAAAAGTAAAATTGGGTAAGTATATAAACGCTTTCAATGATTAGTGTAATAAGTGTATATAATGCACGTCGAGTGGCCTAAGCTTTTGTCGGCGTTACTATAATAATACATGGATATTGTGGTATATGTGGATTGGGTTAATATATATGAGCGCTAAAACGAGGCTATTACAATTGCTCGATATATTCATCGTTAATTAAGAATTCCCGTTCGCTGGGCCATAATTCTAGTATTAGTAAGCGATCACGTATGACGTCGAACACGAGTAATCGTATATCAGCGAGCTCATGCCCTTGGTTAAGTAGATTTCCTATAGCTAATAAGTAGCTGGTAAAACATTCAACGCAGTCCATGACGGGACGAAATTTGATCATTATCTTTTCGCAGACTTGGCATGCTGCCACACAACCTCTGCCGTCAATAAATCCATGAAAATGAGACAATTTTGCGTCATAAGGACTTTTATTTTCCATGTGACATTTTTCGCAATAGAAACATCCTGTACTGTTGGAAGAATATCCTCGTCCAGTCATGCACATACTAATAGTAATTCTAGAGTATATATGTATAAGCGCGTGTGGCTTATATGTAAACCGCTTATGAATGCACATGATAGGTATGTAAAAGATGTAGTATAAAAGAAATAGTATATTGTAGAATAGGATATCTTATAATGCTAAGCTATGGAAAGCGGATGTATAATAGTTCTGGGTGCGTCGTTTTCAATTATTACTAAGTTTACAATAAGATTTCTTATATGATCATAGCACAAGTGAGATAAGTTATTTAAATCGAAGCCTTGTATGCGCAATCCGGAGATTACTTCTAAATATTTAGATGAACAATCGGCACATTGAGTGACAGGTTTCAATTTGGTGATTAGTGTTTGACAACGCGAGCAATGGTGAGGGTTTGGCCTGCCTTCTACAAAACCGTGAAATGTGCCGTACGAATAGCCGAGTGGAAACTTTAGGTTGGAGTAGCAGGGGGTACAGTAAACGGTGGTTCCGTTGTAATTAGTGTGTGCGACCGTAGTCATACACTGGCTTGTATATATTCCCGAGAACAAGGTTAATAAGGGGTGTACCTTTTGTTTAAAGGTTTTGCATGTACACATTATGATTTTGTTAGGTTTTGTGGGTTGGGATTGGTCGTAATATGGTTCAATAGGTACGTAGTGAATGTTGGAGAACTATGGGATCTTCAAGATCGTCGAGTGTTTTACCGCGTTGTCGCAGTAATTCTAGCAAGTGATTGTAAGCTCTTGTGCAATAATAGCAGTTTAGGATTGGCTGTGTCTCTATTATGGGGGCAAAGCACATGTGACATATTTCGAGTTCATATTCTTGTCCATCAACAAAAGCGTGTAGAATAGCAAATGTGTAATAATCGTCATTGACAGTAGGATTGGCGGTGTAATAGCAGGATGAGCATAGTATGATGTTGAGGAGGGAGTTAGAATATCCTTTTGCCCTAAGGCACACAGGTATGCGGAGGTTGGGTAACTGCTGTGGTTCCTTGGTGCTTTCTGAGGCGCACCTAGGTTTATCTCGTATCCAATGCATCCTGAAACAGATGCAATATATTAGTATTCATCCCGGGTCAATGTGCGAAACCTTGAGTTTGTCCGCATGCACGATTCTAAAATGATTTTTATAAAGTATCTTAACATTATTATTAGGGAGTATTTGTATAATTTTGTAAGGGCCTGTGTATTGATCGCTGAGTTTTCCTTTATTAGGTTCTTTCAATAAAAAGACTGAGTCTCCTTCCCTAAAATTCCAGGGTTTCTGGCGCTTATCATAGTAATATTTATTTCTCTCTTTTGACTTAGTTAGATTTTCTCTAGCCTCTAGTTGTGTGTCTTGAAGTCTGTTAAAAAGGTCAGTGAGGTAAGAGGCGTAGGTTGGCTCAGAGTAATCTTCAATAGGAACATAAGAGGAAGGAAGCCTAGGTATTTTACCAAAAATTAATTCAAAAGGTGAATATTTAGTACTTTCGTGGATACTTGTATTATATGAAAACATTGCTAAATGTAAGTGTTCATCCCAGTTGGTGTCGCGAGTGATTTGCGTTTTGAGATATTCCATTAGCACATGATGCGATCGTTCAATTGATCCGTTGGATTGTGGATGATAGGCGGTTGTTTTGTATTGTTGTATCCCAAATTTTCTGGCAATATTTTTCATTAGGGAAGTTAAGAAATTGGAACCTTGATCGGTTAGAAGAGCTCGCGGCGCTCCGTAAATACAAATGAAATGTTTGACAAACGCGTCAGCTATTGTAAGTGATGTAGTTTCAGCAAGAGGTATGGCAAGAGAGTATTTAGTGAGGAGGTCTTGGATAGTAAGGATATAAGAATTTCCCGTATCAGTAATAGGCAAAGGACCCATAATGTCCATGGAAATTTTGTCAAAGGCAGCACCGGGAGTGTCGGTGATGACCATAGGTTGCTTGATCTTTACGCGGGTAAGTTTCTTAAGTTGGCATGTACGACATTGTTGAATAAAAGCTTGTACGTCCCTTTTCATCGTATTCCAATAGTATGACATTCGTAGCCTGTTGTAAGTCTTGGTGACACCTTTGTGTCCGCCTAAAGCGCTCGCGTGATTTTCCAGAATTAAATTTTCCCTATCTTCTAACTTGGGTGTCTGTATTACTCCTTCGCATATTGTAATTCGCAAGGATGTATCTTCAAAGTGTTTCAAAATTTGTCGTTGCACATAATCCCAAGGGATCGCGTCTAAATAATGTGTTCGTCTGATAGAAAAAGATTTTAGTTGCATTTCGTTTACTACATCTACAAGAGATTTTATACAATTCTTTATGTTCTCGTGCTCTATCATTATTCTGTCATCTAGCTTTACTGGTAAAGATATGAGAACATTTTTCCCTATAGAGTTTACTTTAGCTCTTTCAAGGATAATATTGGTATAGCTTGGCAGTTTGTTTGTTTTCTCGTACTCGTTTGAACCATTATCGAAAGGTGTACCGTCACCTTTTATAAACACTACGTGATTGTCCTTTTGTGACATCAGGGAGTCTCGAGTGAGTTTAACTTTTAATAGGGTAGGATTTCTTACGATGTCGCCTATTTCGGCGGGTATGGAGAGGGCATCAAATATTTCTTCGCTAGAGTCAGAGCTGTCGTCCAGATGGTCCGATAATAAAGATTCGTCGTCAGTGTCGATTTCTGGTATGACGTGGGTATTTTGTAGTATAACAGGAGTGTGTACCCTGGGTGGTTCTATAACCGGTACAGGGTCAGGTGTGTCTCGGGATGATGAAGGATGTACACTCTCATTAGTATTAGGATTTTGTTGCTCCGGGGGAAATGTAAAAAGTGATTCATTGGAGTCTTCGTTGTTAAAATTCAAGGGTAGAGTGGTAACAATAGGATTTCGTGAAAGGGCATCAGCATTGCTGTTCAAAGTCCCTTTTTTGTACTGTATTTCATATTCATATTCAGCGAGTTTCGTTTTCCACTTCCATAATCTGGATGAAGGATCTTTTATCGACTGAAGCCACATAAGTGGTTTATGGTCGGTGATTATCTTAAATTTTTGCCCATACAAATAGGGTCTGAAATATTGAACACAGTATACGATGGCTAAACATTCCTTTTCAATGGTAGAATAATTTTGTTCCGCGGGGTTCAAGACGCGTGAAGTGTAAGCAATAGGAAGATCCTGTCCGATAGGACCTTGACTAAGAACGCCTCCGATGGCATAGCCAGACGCATCAGTTGTAAGATTAAAAGGTTTTGTGAAATCTGGATATTGGAGTATAGGATGCGAGCACAAGGATTCTCGAAGGATGTTGAACGCGTGTTGTTGAATTGGGCGCCATATATATTCCTTATCTTTCTTCAATAAATCCGTTAAAGGTTTAGCAGTTTTCGAGAAATCAGGTATAAATCGTCGATAGTATCCGGCCAATCCGAGAAATTGCTTAATTTGCTTTTGAGTGCGCGGGGTAGGGAATTCTTTTATAGATTTTATCTTTTCCGGATCCGGTCGAACACCGTCGGATCCTATTATGTGGCCTAAGTATGCTACCTCTCGGCGTAGAAATTCGCATTTGTCAGGTTGTAGTTTCAAATTTGCCTTTTGTAATCTATTCATTAGTTTATTGAATTTGATTTCGTGTTCATGCAAGGAATTAGCGTAAATAACAATGTCGTCCATATAAACGAATAATTCGTTGCCTTGAAGGCCTGATAGTACATTGTCCATCAGCCGTTGAAAGGTTGCGGGCGCATTCTTAAGACCGAATGGCATTCTCTTAAATTGATAGTGCCCGTAAGGAGTAGAAAAGGCGGTTTTGGGGGGGGCTTCAGAAACATAGGGATTTGGTGGAAACCTGACGCTAAATCAAGAACAGAGAAGTATTTTGCACTACCGAGTTGATCTAGAATATCAGTAATATTCGGAAGAGGATAAGCGTCTCCTATAGTTTTTTCGTTTAACAGGCGATAGTCTATTACCATGCGCCATCGTTTGTTTCCATTCGAATCTGGTTTCTTAGGAACTATCCACAAGGGAGAGTTATAAGGGGAAGTAGAGTGTTCGATAATATTATTTTTTAGTAAATCGGTCACCTGCTTGTCTACCTCTTCTTTATGGACGGGAGGGAATCTGTATTGTTTTACGTGAACCGGGGCATTGTCTGTTGTAACTATGTAATGATGCGCGGCGTTGGTGATCCCTAAGGTTTCACCGGGAATGTGGAACTTATCAGCGTGATTTAGTACTAGTTTCTCAATATTCCGTGCTTCTTCGCGATTGAGATGAGAGAGACGTAGTAGTTGCAAAATTCGCGCGTTGCGAGATGAGAGAGGACCAGCGGCCGTATCAGACTCTAGTACATCAACAGCACCGCAAACGATTGTACCTAAGTTACTAGTCGCGTGCGTATCCGATAAACAGTGAGAATAATTATTACAGGAATTGGAATTGAGTGGGCGGTGTGCATGAGACAGAGGACCAGAGACCGAGGGATGCCCTAAGGTATCGCCGGTACCACAGACATTTACCGTTCCTAAGCAAGGTTCTGACTGTGTATCCGTTGTGTTTATTTGATTCACGAAATTAAAACGAGATTTAAAGTGTTTAACTTGTGAGGATGTGTGTTCTAGAGGACCTGTAGCATTCGCCTGTCTGCAAGAGGCGTCAGCACCGCGGATCGCGTCAGTACCTGAGTACGACCTTCCCGTGGTATCCGGTGTACGTGTGCGTTTAAGAGGACCTGAGGCCGTGCGACATTCTAAAATATCATCGGCACCGCAGCCGGGTGACGTGCCTAAACGTTCGCTCGATTGCGTATCCGGAGTGTGTAAAAGAGTAGAAGAAACGAGATCGGAATTAGGAACCTGATGTACGGCACCAAGAGGACCTGTGGCTTCTGCATCGCGGAGTAAATCTATACCTAGGTGAGAGATTTCCGCGATATCCGGTGTACCGTAATCTTGAAGTTCCGTTACCGGAATTGGAATAGTGTGTCTGTATTCTGTGGTGTTGAATATAGGAAGATGGCCTTTGCCATTAGAATTAGAAATAAGGGCGTTTCCTAAATAAACTCCCTGTGCAACATTCAGGAGAGGAATATAACCACTGGATTTCTCAGGGTTAGAAATAATGACGTGGAAAGGAGCGACGGTACGTGGTTGTATCACAAAGGATTCTTCCTCTATGAAAGGTATACTAATTTGTTCGCACCGGACGCGTTTATTGTGATAATCGATACTTGCGTTGTGTTGTTTAAAGAACTCGTTTCCTAAGATTCCGTGTTCTCTAAAAGGAAATTCATCTGGCAGCACGTGGAAGTTAGTAAGTTTCCCGAGAATTGTAATTTGTAGACATCCCATGGTAATTATCGGTTTAGGTGAGATGCCTTGTAGAGTCAATTGTACGTCATTATTTACGTGCACGCCAGAGTCTAAAAGATCGCGTCGAATTAAGTTCACGGCGGATCCTGAGTCGATCATAAAAAGAGCAGTTTTGTTAAGATTCGGCGACGAAAGCATGACGTTCGGGACGTCTCCTGAGATTGTATTTAAATTTATGCGTTGGAGGTTCCGGGTTCCTCCTGAAATTGAACCAACTTTTGAATAGGACGCCCTGTCTGTTCCGTGTCGCGGCGGGCATCGCTCTGGACCGGGACACGGGTCGCGTTTTCCGGAGCGGCGGCTTGCGCGGGCGTGCTTGTATTTTCTAGTGACCGCCTATAAGCTAATTTACGGCACTCGGACATTATGTGTCCGGGGGCTTTGCAATAGCGACATAGAATAAGTGAAGGGGCATTGGGTCCTGGTTGCCCTGGAATCAGAGGTTTCACGAAGGGGATTGGCGATCGCTGCAGTATTTGGCGAGGTTGATTGTTTTGATAGGAGGGGTTAAATTGAGGGCTCGAATTGAAGGGGTTTGTGTCCTGTCGCGCTAAAGGGAGTGGTCGATTTGGAAAAGAAGATTTGCGCCTACTTGTCTCAGTCTCTAGTGTTTTAGATAATTGTATGGCTTTAGTAAAGGCCTCCTCTAAGTCTTCGTATCCCTCGAGTTTAACCCGAATTAGTAAATCAGACGGTAGGCCATTGACAAAACTCTCTAATGTGTCCCTGTCTACAGTGTCGATTATCCATCTGTCTAAGTGTCGGTTTTGTACTAATTCACAGTCTAAAATGGCTGTGCGTAATTCTTTTATCCGCGCGATATAATCAAAAATTGATTCTTGAGGCTTCATATACGCATTGCCTAATTCGCCTCTATATTGATTGAGAGATTTATTTGGCCCGAATATTAATTTTAATTTTTGCAATAATTCCGCGACGCTATCATAACGTGAGCCTTCTACAGCAGTGTATGCGTGTCCTTGCAGTTTACTTAAAATTAGTTGACATAGGTAAGGTTCGTGTGACGTGGGTATTAAATCGAGTGCTCTCTCGCATGTTTTACAAAATTGGAATACGGACATCCGTTGTCCATCGTACTTAGGAATTGAATCAGCTATATCTTTCAAACGAATAAATGGGGCGTCAACAGGTGAATTTGGAGGAGGAGGGCACGTGGTTGGTTCGTGATGACGCGGAGATGCCTGTCGAGGACTCACTTGTGGAGTGCGTGCGTTAGTGTGTTCGCGTTGGCTTTGCAAGGAAGCTACTTGCCTATCTAAATGCTGTATGTGTGAGGGTATTTCTCTGAGACTCGCTAAATCCCGTTGCATGATTTCTATTAGTTTGACTAAATTTAATATGTCGGTAGGAGAGCTTAGATGTGTCGATTCCCGTGCTTCAATTTCTGCTTGTCGTCTTTCTAAATCTAGCTGTTGCGCCTGAAGGGCTTCGCTTTGTTCACGTATAATTTTCTCCTTTTCGCCCATGCGTTTGGTAAGAATGTCTACCTCGATCGCTGTCAGGGCCTGTCCCTGTTCTTCTGATTCTGATTGCGACTTGTCCGTCCCGGACAAAGATTTATTTGAACGCGTATGATATGCCATTGCGAAATGAAACTACGAACTATATTATGCAAAAGAAATGCTCCTAAGAGTTCGAGAAACCCCACGAGTTTCACCTAAATGTACGAGGGTTGTAAGAAAATTCTAACTTCTAAAAGAAGAATGTTCTAAGTATATACAAAAAGTTATCAACCTATTCTAGGATAAGGCTAGGAACAACGGTAAACAAGAGGATGCTCCTAAGAGGTTGTGTAAGAAACGTAAAATGTTCCCCCTATTCCGAAATTTTGGCCTATCCCACCGCTGCCACCAAAAGTTGTTGTTGTGTAACGTCTCGCGTCTCCCTAGGGATCGTGATCCGCCTGCTCTCTATTTATTTAGGCCTACCTGCTTACACCGGCACTGCCTGGGATGCCGAGAGCTTTTCCGGACAGATGGTGAAAGGGGGAAATATGGTGATTGTAGGTGATATAAAGATTATGGCTATTGATAGGAATAGAGACTAAACAATTGTTTATTTAACAATGAGACAATATGATAGTTAAAAGTGTAATATAAATGAGTGATAATACTTATAGTTATATAATTAATGAATACAAATGTGGTTTACATTATATAGCTGCTGTAATGAGTTACAATGAAGTGTTGAGAAATGTACAGTTATCCTGCCCGGTGGAAGTAATGAAGGTGGTACGGTAATTTGCGAGGAGTTTCAGTGAGAGAATAGGACTCCAGTTGGTAAATGTAGGTGGCTGTCTTGTTGTTGAAAGTGTCGTCCTGTGTTAAATCTATCAATTCTATGTCTAGAGTTTCTGTCGTCGAACGCTGTTTAACCAGCCGAGGGTTGCGCGTGTGAGCCCTGTAAGAGCTTGGTAAAGAATGCGAATCCGGAATGAAGTGTCTTTGTGTGGAATGTAATGGACGTGGAGCGTATTTAAATGTGCTTATGAGTCTGTTTTGTAATAAAAACTTGATGTACGATGGAGGAACTAGATCGTGCCCCGTGATATCTTGTATTATACGGGGTTTGGTGGGGTCCATGTGTTGAGACAACAGGGCCGCTCGTCGGCAAGCTTCCTTACGTAGCTGCCTTGCCTTCTGTTTAACGCCCCCGCGATGTTTATTTGGCATCTAACGGATTGAGTTTAAGAATAACATTTTTGGTCGGACAAGTTAAAATAGCAATTGATAAAATTAATTATTGAGTGAAAAGGACTCTTGTGACTTTAGTTATCCGTTGCCAGAGTACTGTAAAAGTACTAATAATTAATGCTTACTACCATGCTTTGGCAGGGGTTAGGTTATGCGGATTGTAGGAGAAGGATAATTGAGGCGGGTGGCGGCTGTCAGCTGCGCCCCTGAGATTGAAGGATGCTAAGCACTGTACAGGTTATTAATTCACAAGTTAAATTTCCTGATCTTGATGGAAAAGGGGTGGTCTTATGAGTTGGACGGGATGGATAGGATGCTTGAGCCGAGAGGCACCCGTAAGGCGCTCCTCAGTCTGGACAAGGATAGAGGCGGGTAGCTCCAGTAAGGCGCTTCCCTAAAAGTGAGCAAGATCTATGCTTAATAATGTAAGATTCAGATTTAATGGTTAATGAACTATAAATTCCTCTGGCAAGAGATGTTATGGCACCAATTGATTTAAGTAACTGAATAAAAAGGACAAAGATTTAATGAATGCTTAATATCTTCCTTTCAAGAAAATGCTCGAATAAGAGGAAAAAGGCTGCCGATAAAACAAGGATGCTGCATAAATTAAAATGCTTAGTAGAAAATATTGAAGGATTGTATGCCGATGCAATGGCATATGTTCGTTGTACAAGAG